GTACTCCTATGCTTCTCACAGAAATGTCAAGATGCTTTCTACTTGGGGGCTTTAGGAAACTGAAGCATCTCAGATGAAGGTGATCGATGTTCAATGCCCAGCATAACTCACTGCCATCGAGTAGATTCCAACTCAGTGACCCTGTACAGGTTTCCAAATCAGCAAATCTTTATGGGGAGCAGAAAGCCTCATCTTTCTCCAGAAGCTCGGCTGGTGAGTTTGAACAGCTGATTTTATGGTTAGCAGTATGAGATTACCAACATAGAATCCTGTTGTGTATGGTGTTATGAGCCACTGACTCCATGGAGATAACAACACATGAAATACTTAATTAGTAAAGAAACTACAGTAAAAGCATCGGCCATAAAGAAATATTTTTTATTAGGAAAATCAAGCAAAGAACTTTATCAGTTAAAAAAAATTATCAAACTCACCGAAGTTCAAGCATATGATCTATTCTGAGCAATTATTCTATATGCATATGTCGTTGTTGTTGACGTGTGCCGTGGAGTCGGTTCTGACTCATAGTGACCCTGTACAGGATTTCTGAGGCTCTCTGGTAGTGTAGTGGTTATGAATAGGGTTGCTAATCTCAGGGTCAGCAGTTCGAAACTACCAGCTGTTTCGTGGGAGAAAGATGAGGCTTTCTGCTCCCGTAGAGATTTACAGCCTCAGAAACCCTGTACAGGGTCGCTATGAGTTGGAACCGACTCCACGACACATAACAACAACAACAACAAGACTCTACCAGAGCTCCTTCTATATGCATATGGAGGTCATTTTGAATCCAGAATAGGCAAATGATACAAGGATCTATATAAAGAGAAAACCAAAACCAAACGAAAACCCACTGCCATCCATTAGATCCTGACTCACAACCAACCTACAGGACACTGTAATATGTTCCTTAAGGTTTCCAAGACTAGAAATCTTTATGGGAGCAGGCAGTCTCCACTTTCTCCCACAAAGAAACTGGTGGGTTTGAACCATCAACCTTGAGATTACAGGCCCAATGCTTGACTCACTGTGCAACCAGGCCTTCTTTATAAAGTTCATTGTTGTTAAGCACTGCCGAATTGGTTCTGAGTCATAGTAACCCTATACAGGGTTTCCAAAGATCGGCTGGTGAGTCTGAACCACTGATTTTGTGCTTCAAACCAACCTTGTGGTCTAGTGCTTATGCTACAGTATCACACCAGGACTCCTTATAAAGATTAGAGCAAAAAATATAGACAGACAATGTTTGGTGAAATTTGTCTTAACCTACTAGAAAAGAATTTGGACATATTGTCAGAAGGGAATAGTCACTGGAGAAGGTTGTCATGCTGGGTAAGGTGGAGGGTCAGAGAAAAAGAGGAAGACCCCTAACGAGATGGATTGGCCAGGTGGCATCATTGATGGCGTCAAGTGTGGCAGCGGTAGTGAGGTTGGCCCAGGATCGGACATTGTTTCGTTCTGCTGTGCATGGGGTCGCTATGAGTCGGTTCCGACTCGATGGCACCTGCCAACAACAACAACTAGAAAAGAACAGCTGTCACACTATTTTCTCCTAATTTAAGTGTCAGAAAGTCTCATGGCTGCAAATCCAGAGCAGAAATAATAAGATCCCAGTAGATCCCAGTAAAGAAAGAAGACAGGGCTCAATCCCATTAAGATAAACCAATGATCACCCACTGCTTACTGACATCCAGTTGATTCCTACTCATAGTGCCCTTATAGACCTTCTAAGACTCTAAATCTTTACAAGAGCAGACCAAGGAAGGGCTGGTATACTTGAACTGCCAACCTTGAAGTTAGCAATCAAACCCACAGCCTAATTCACAGTGCCACCAAGGCTCTTACAACAAACTGGAAGATGTTTTTGTTTTTTTTTTCCTGAAGGCTGCATGAACTCAAACTGGGGCTCCCCCTATCTTTGGTTCACATTCAAAGACAAGAGTAAAGTACTACCGATTCACTGGCAAATGTTTAAACTGGTCCACGTGGACAACTAACTTCTTACCTTCTACAATTTTTAAGACAAGTAGTTTTTCTGTTTTTTTTTTTTTCATGTTTTTATCAGGACTGTGGAGGAAAACTAAAATAAAATCAATCAAGACTTGTTCTGTTGTTGTTGTTGTTGTTGTTGTTGTTGTTGTTGTTGCTGTTGCTGGTTGCCCTTGAGTCGGTTCCGACTCATAGTGACCCGATGCACAATAGAACAAAACACTGTCCAGTCCTGTGCCATCTCACAATTGTTCTTCAGCTTGAGACCTTTGCTGCTTCCACTGTGCCAATCCATCTCATTGGGGGTCTTCCTTTTTATCACTGACTCGCCATATTACCAAGCATGATGTCCCTCTCTCCAGGGACTGATCACTTTTGACAATATGTGCAAAGCATGAGAAATGAAGTCTTGTCATTTGGACTTCTAAAGAGCATTCTGGATGAACTTCTTCTATCTTGTCCTGTTGTTGTTGTTGTTAAGTGCCACTGAGTTGATTCCAACCCATAGAGATCCTGTATAGGGTTTCCAAGGAGCAGCTGGTGAGCTTGAACCACTGACCTCGCAATTCATACGACTTTGCAATCTGACACATTAACCCACAGAACCACACCAGGACTTGTCCTAGATCTCTGGAAAAGCTAGTTTCACTTTCAAAACCACCTATAGAATTTGTTTAATTTATTCCATAAATTAAACAAATTCTATAATATATAACTTGTTATTTATAAAGATTTTGATCTCAAGGTTATTACATGAAAACCTTTCAAAATGAATTCATTTGATTCTTCGAAATAGCAAAAGAATTTAATTTATAAGTAACTGTGTCATAAAATCAAGAGTTCCTTCCAAAGTTATTATCTAATAATACCATCCAGAGGTGAAAATAGTATTTTCATAACTGTTTCTGCTGTTTTACCATCAAAATAAATAATTTTTTAAAAAGTGCACTCTGCAAATGGGCTGCCTAAGCAGCAGTTAATTTGAAGCGGGAGCTCCATTCTAAACTTCAAAGACTCGTGACCACAATGGGAATATCAAACCTGTCTTATTATTCAGAGCTTGTTCTAGCTATTTATTATGGAATGAATCATGTCCCCCAAAAGAATGTATGAATTTGGCACGATCATGTCATGATTCTCAGCGGTTCGGCAGTTATGCAATGATGAAATCATCCCCATAGTGTAATCTGGAAAAAATCAAACACTATGTTGTAAGGGGCAGGCTGGGACGTAACACCCTAGCACAGGTCCCAGTCCTGATCTGATGCAAAGAGAATTTCCCTGGCATGGCATGTGGCCTGAACCACCTTTTATCTTACATAACAGATAAAAGAAGAGAGAAGAGAACAGGGAGAAAGGTCCACTACCAACAAAAAAGAAAAGTCAAGAGCAGTGTGCATCCTTTGGACTCAGGGTCCCTGTGCTGCTTATCTCCTACACCCAGAGGAATTAGAATGCCAAGACACGTGGAGAAAATATGTAATATGTATATTATGCAACATGTGTTTATATATTGTAGAATCTCATTTATATGAAATAAGCACTGTTGTTGTTGCTGGAAGTGCTGCTGAGTCAGTTCCGACCCATAGTGACCCTATATAGGGTTTCCGAGGAGCTGCTGGTGAACTTGAACCACTGACCTTGTAGTACAAACAGCTTTGCAGTCTGGTGCATTAACCCACAGCGCCATACCAGAACTCCAAATAAGCACTACTAGTTTCTATATATCTGTTTACTAGTGGTAATTACTAGGTGTGGGAGGAAGATGGAAAGGGGAAGGTTGCTTAGAGGGCAGAGAGTTTATGTAACAGGGAGTGGAAGAATTTGGAAAAGGACAGTAAAAGTGGTTACACACTTGAAGAATGTAATCAACCATCACCGAATTAATAAAATGTAGACATCATTAAACAGATAACCAGTTTATTGTATATATTTTCACCACAATAAAAATATTAATTTAAAAATAGAAAAGGAGAGAGACCAAGAACTGGCCATAGGAGCTGCTAGTGGGGAGAAGGGAAATGTGGCAGAAACACCCACCTAGAGCCTGTGCAGCAAATCAGGGACAGCATTTTCTGCCACAGCATTAACAGTCACATTTGAACATCCTCATGCCTCTCAGCTGAGATGTAAGTGTTAGTTTTTACACAGAAAAAGTAACACCACACCTTAGTCCTTCAGAAAACCACAACTATTTTTAGGTGTAACTGTGAGAAAACAGATGTAAACTTCTTTGTGATCAAGTCAAGTCTTCTAAGACTCCACAGTTACCACAGGATATCAATGACCCCACATGCTGGCAGGGCCCCTTCCTAGGTTCTGGTCTCTAATGGTTTCATAAGGTACTGTTATCAACTGCTTACTTCTGCCTCCTCCACTAGACAGTGAGTCCTCTGATTTTTCTTCACATCACTTGAAACTACCAAGAAAGTGTTCAGTAGGTGCCTGTAGAAAATGATTAATTGGTGCCAGGCACTAGAGATAAAAACATGAAAGCATGGTCCCAAGGAATCATATCTAGGGTGGAGAGATGGCTGTTCAAAAATGAGAAGTATCCCACCAGGTGTAGATAGAAAGGAATGAGAAAAAATATTCACGTAGAACTAAAAGTAGAATTAAAAGAATTAAAGCAAGTACTGCCCAACTACATGGGGAAAGGAGGACAGCCTTGGTCCTTAACTGAAAATGCCGTTGTTGTTAAGTGCCTCAGAGTCATTTCTGATTTATAGTGACCATAGTGACCCTGTAGAGTGTTTTCCAAGGAGCATCTGAATTTGAACTGCCAACCTTGTAGTTCAAACTAACCTTGTGGTCTAGACTCTATAAAAGTGTACAGGATATTTATTGCATGAGAAAAAACATTTTAAAAGAGAACAAAGAAAAAATGCTGGCTGAAAAGGTATATAAATAAACGGAGGTCAAATTTATTAAAAAGGAACGCTAAAAAGATAATTGTTAAAAATAACTAATTCCCCCAAATCAAATATTTCTAGTTCATCATAACTAATTCTTACCTTCCAGAGATTCCTTTTGTTGACCCTGGAATCTCTGGTACAGGTCGATGTCTTAGCAGGAAAGATCTGGATGGTCTTGAAACCAACTTGCTACGACTTCTCATTGGTGTTAAGCTTGGTGATGATGGAATATACAAATCATTCACAACCATTTCTCCTTGAAATTGAAAGAAGGGAGTTGGTGGTAAGCTTTGTAATAAGCCATCAGTTCCAATTCCAGAACTTGCTTCTGATGGTGAATAGCCAAGGGAGGGAAGACATGCAGGATCTGCATTAGGAAGCTTGCTGAGATTTTCTGAGATCAAATCAACTTGTTTTGGTTGTTCTTCTTTGATGGTGCAATCCACAGTCTTCTTTGTAATCAAGGATTCTGTTCTAATATTTTCTCTACGAAGAACAGAGTCCTGATAAGAACTCAAATGCAGGTGTGGTTCTTTCGTTGGAATAGGAGAGCTGTGTACAGGAAGAGGTAAGTTACCTAGTTTGAGAGACTGGCTATTTTCTATACTGTCAATATTTTGATTAAGATTCTTCATAACAGTCTCCAAAGGGCTAGGAGTCTGAACGCTACCAGAATCTGACTGTTGTATGCAGGCATTTTGATCAGAAGACAAAGCATGGCTAGCCTTTGAAGTCTCATCACTCCTCTTTGTTTTCTGAACATTTGCATATATTGGGATATCTTGCATTTTTGATAAGATTATCTGCAATTGTTTGAGTATCCTCCTACGGTGTCCTGTAGGTGATATTCCAATTTTGTGTAGCAGGCTGTCATTTATTGCTCCACAGTCCTTCACAGTATTAAGACCAAAGTCATGAAAATGTGAGAGATACTGCTCCAAGTTAATGCTCATTAGGAAATCTTTGATATCAACATTAATTTCACTTACTGAGGTCATAATGATGGCTTCATTACTAAGTTGAGTTTCAAAAAAAAAAGTACAATGTACTTTGAAGTATTTGTTCTTCCTCTGTATCACTCACAACAGGGAAACTTCTCCAAATGTAATTTTCTCCACAGTAATCATTCCGTGTGTTAATCCTGGAAGAAAACAAATTGAAGTAACTTATTACTACACATTAATTATTAAAATTGAGTCTTACATTACAAACTATGAAGAAACAAAATAGAAGCTAGAACAATAACTCTCATTGACCAAGGTCGTAGAATCTTGGGGTACTGCTATGTTAATGCCCTAAAAAGCCAATCCTAGGTTTAGTGTTAAAAGTACAGAACAGAAATGTTACAGTGTCAAAATGATTTTCAAAAGGTTAAAAATGGTTCTCATACAAGTACAGAATGAACATGTGTCAAAAGTTCAAACTCATGTTCCTAGGGAATACTACACCTAGGAACCAGTAAGGTGGTAAATAAAGCTGGTTCTAAAAGCATTTCGAAGATTGGTTTATATTGATCGTTGGGAAAAGCAATTAAAAAATATTGGTGCGCCACCAAATCAGTTCCAACTCATAGCAACCCTGTATAGGATTTCCGAGGCTGAAAATCTTTATGGGAACAGAAAGTCTCATCTTTCTACTGGTAGATTCAAACAGCTGACCTTGTGGTTAGCAGCCCAGTTTGTAATCCACTACACTACCAGGACTCTGATAAAAAGAAAAAATATTAAAGGGGGTAAAACAGAGCATGTTAGAATAAGACTACTAGATTCGATTCTAAAAAACTGGTTAGTGTTCTACAGGGCAATAAAACCAGAATCTTTGGAGTTACTTTTCCAGTGAAAAAAAACTACAAAATAACAGGTGTCTTCACAGTGTCTGGGCTCTAATCAAACAGCAAATAGTAACATCAACCACAGGAATTAGACTTAAAATTAAATATCCCCAGGGTGTGGCTCTTAAACAACACCTCCAATAACGGCACTGAAAGAACATGCTATACGTTCTTTGGATTGTATAAAATTTTTAAATTTTAGATGATTTTCTTAACAGTGCTATGGTGCTGTTGCTAAGTGCCTTGGGGTTTGTTTGGACTCATAGCAACCCTGAATAGGATTTCCAAGAAGCAGCTAGCGGGTTTGAACTGCTGACCTTGTATAAGCAGTCTAGTGCTTACCCTACAGTGCCACACCAGGACTTTAGAGAGTGAAGAAAACTGAAGACTTAAGGACACAATTGATCCATAGGACTGATGTAACATTTGAACTATAGCATCCTTTAATCCGAGACCAGATGGTGCCTTGCTGCCATAAGGGACTGTTCTGACCAGGAATATAACGAAAGTCTCCAGTTAGAATGCGAGGGAAATACAGAACAAAACTCAAATTCATTAAGAAGCCCAGATTGCCGGTTTTACTGAGACTGGAGGAACTCTGACACTATTACCCTAAGTCACCCTTCTAATGTGGAACCGAAGTCACTCTTACAGGCCATCAAAGAGCAGACTAACTCTTAAAATAAAAAGTTAACACACCTGAAGAGTGAATTCCGTAGAACAAAGGACAATGTATGCCCCAAAACAAAGCTAAGAAGGCACAAAGGGGCAGGGAAACAGGCCAAGTAGAACCAAAGAACCCTGGGTAGAAATGGGGATAGGCAGACACATTATGGAGGTTGTAACCAATATCATGGAACAATCTGTATATGAATTATTGAATGGAAATCTAATTGGCTATGTAAACTTTCACTTGAAGAGAAAAAAAAAAAAAAACCAATAGTATATATTTCTCTGGAGTCCCTAGGTAGAGCAAAAGGTTGGCAGTTTGAACCACTCAGAGGTGCCTAGAAAGAAAGTCTTGGCCATCTGCTTTCCCAGCATCACAGCCTTGAAAACTTACGGAGCAGTCCTACTTTGCATACCTGGGGTCCCCTTGAGTCAGAATTGACTCACTCAGTGACTATTAATAACAACAAATGTTTCTTTTGTCAGTAGTTTTCATTGGGAAAAAAAGCAGCAGCATTATATGCAAATAGCCAATACCTGTATGCAAGATAAGACAAGGTGAATAACTTGGCTAACTTTTAAATAACATTAGATAGCAGGTGATCAGCTAATATGAGTGGGAAAGGAAAAAGTTTAAAGGTCATGTTTTCCTCCATTGTACACAAGCAGATTCATATAGGTTCACTTTTCTCCCAAACATAACTAAAACTTTTAAGAAGCCAATGGTATCAGGTTATACAGGTGTGTTGGATTTTTGAAATTGCAGGTTTCATTTCCTGTATAGCATACTTCAATCAGAAGGAAAAAATGATAGAATATGTATGATATCTAAAAATGAAAGTAATAAAATGAGACATACCAAAATCAAGGTAAATTTCTCTGCACAAGCTTTGATGCCATGTTTCTGCAAATCACATCTCAACACAGCCCTATAAAAGGCACAACTCCAACTGTATGTGTTGTGTGCCAAGTTCCCAAAAGATCAGCAAACATTGACAAGCAGGTATAAATGACACGAGGGAAATCACATAACATCTTTAGGCAGCACTGCTGCTGCACTTGCTGCTGTTGTTAAGTGCCATCCCCGACCCTGTACAAGGGTTCTGAGGCCATAAATGCGTTCAGTTGGGTGGGTGGGCACCCCCCAAAAAGTCCAGCGTTGAGACTACAGCTTTCCCATGGCGCAGAGAGAAACAGCCCCATCGGTCCAATGGCAAATTCTTTGACTGCTGCTTTGAACTTCTGCCTGTGGGTCCCAGCCCTAAAGTTAACTTGTGCAAGACCCTTTACTCCTACCTATCCAGCAAGAAAAAAAGCAGGTTTGGCCTGACAGACAAATCATATGAACAATCTGTAAAACCCCAACATAAAAAGACGCAACTATTTCAAGAATTACGCTAAGCACATGCAGATACCTAACTGACCTTTAGAGACAAAAGTAGTAAACAATCTTTCTCCCATTAACTTCTCAATATCTATCTGTGCACCTCTACACTGGTGACTAGAGGAGAGGCCTGAGCAAGTGGACACCCACAGTTTTATTTTTGTTTCAAAGTGGTGGTTTTGTCTCTGCTTTTATATTGCTTCTGCTTTTGGGCCTTTTGATCACACATTTTTCATGGAGGAGGGAGCTTTTTCTCCCTACATTACTCAGTAAGAGTCAGCAATCGTGGTCATATAGCCAAGCTACAAGCATATCCCATAATAGTCCACCATTTAGACAAGAGCAACAACAGCTGCAAAGCATTACATGCAACAAGGAATGCCTATCTCCTGATCATATCCACAGTAAGCTTAACAACACAACAACAAACATCCACTTAAGCATTAAAAACCCACACAATTACTGGAAATGATGAACAAAAAACAACAAAATATATCAAAACATGTCCAAAAACAGAAAAGTAATTAAGACAAATGATGGCGCAATCAAAATATTCCAGGATAAACAGAAGCTAAAGATTTTGTCAAAGCCAATCCAGCACTTCAAAACATCCTAAAGGGAGTTCTTTGGACTGAAAACCAACAAAACAGACAACAACCAGAGATTGACAGGCGTGGCAACACCACCTGAAACTCAGACAATGGACAGCAGAGTCCAGTACAGAACAAAATTAGAACAATGTCTTCAAAGGAGCTGGGAGGTCAACTGAATAATAACAATGTTAAATAAGGGAAAATGTAGGAATAGAGATCCAAGTGGTGAGGAGGTCAGGTAGATTACAGGATTAAATAGAGTAAAAAAGGAACCCACAGAATGGGAAAATATCCTTTGCAATGA